TTTTTTATCGACAATTTGTATTTTTTTATATACTATGGTACATAGACTACTGCCAAACATAGATATTTACTAAAAAAATAATACGAAGTGTCTAGTTGAAATGATTTAACTACATTAAAAGTTTAAAAAATAGCACGGTTTTTTTTTCTTTACAGTAAATAAATACAAAGTTTCTTTTTGAAGTCACTTATAACACTTGGGTATTTAAAACAATTTGAATTAATTTTCTCATTCGAAAAATATATTAAATGAAGACATACAATAATGGATAAACTTTATACTCAACTGTAGTTGAAGTTTTAATAATCCAGTAATTCATTAAAGTTAGTTAGCCCTTTATATGTTATTATACAATAAATATGAGTTATTATTTGTTTCAACTAATAACTAAATTTATAAAAAACTTCCCAGTATAAACAAATGAGATATTACATTAATCTCGTGAAAGTTATTTTAAAAAATACTTAAATACAACAAATATTAAGAGATCATTATGAAATGAGACTTTACATGAACTGCACACTATGTGAAATAGTATTTTAACGTGTGGTTGGTAGTAATTACTTGTTAAGGGAAAAAAAGACAGTGAAATTTAACTTGAAACTCTACGTAAGTATATGATAATTGATACGCCTGACAAACAATTATGTCTCATGTCACGCATAGTGAAAATGCAGCAGTACTAGTCATGTAACTTATAAAAATACCACGTAATGATTAAGGAATGTCCGAGTAAATTATTTGCACTTGTTTAAGTCAAACTGTTTCACAGGTATTTAAGTAGACATTTATAAATGTAATATTTGCAACTTGCTGTTCAATTTTAATTGCCATATTTTTCATATATTAAGTTTTCGGTTGATTTTGTACAGTTCCTTTAGCAATTGTTCAATTAGTAAATAACACAAGAAATACTAAAGACTACTTTTTTGCTATATATCTTTTTGTATCTTTTACTATTATTGAATATTTGTAGTAGGGTATGAAGATATATTTAATTGACTACACTTTCGTTAAAATTACTTACTTAATGACCTTCAAAATTATATTTTTTTTCTTTAAAATTTTACTAGTTGAAAACGTTCCTTGTTATTATTTGTACGGCGTAATTAATTTAAAATAAACTTTAGACGTCTGGGACTCGTTGTATGTCAAGGGATTTATAAATATATAAAAGTATTTAGAAATCTTAAGATTATCATTGTAATACCATAATAATTTTTACTAAATATAAGACGCTTTTCAATCAAAGTTATTTCTCTATATATGAAAATTACGTCTTATGATCTAAAAGAAGTAGTAAATTATTTCACAAATAATTGATCAAGTTATACAAAGTATTGCATAATGTGTAGATTTAATGAACTGAATATTTTAATTAAATAAGTTTGTGGTCGAGAAGGACACCCAAAGAGTTTTTAAGCGGATTATGCTAGTAAAAAGAAGATGAATAAATGCAGAAAAGACCCAGAAGTGTATAGAGACAATGGAGCCGTCACTGACCGGGGGTCCTGTCAACAGGACGGATAAGTAATGATCGCCATGGCAAATTCGCTTAAATGCTTTGACGTGGACCGACTCGATCCGAGGTCTTCATCTTCCAGCATATTCCAATACTTTTTCAACTTTTCTGTCGCCGTTTTATTGGACACGGTTATTGTTCGCGGCACGGATTCGTCCTTCGAGTGGTCAGAAGGACTCGCTGCTTTGTTTGGCGACAGGAAGACGCTTCGTCAGCGTGGAGGACGTCCTCGACGCCGTCGCCAAACAAAGCCCCGCCAGGAGGAGGATGCGACCACTCGAACTACGTATCAATCCATGTCGCGCATCAAAGGGCTGGACGACGATGATAACTTTATTAGCAGTACGAAAAGGGTAAAAAGGGGGTCGACTTAACAACAAAGACAATGCTGCAAGGGTTTTTCGATAATAAATTCCCGGTGGATCCATTGATCAATTCCCGCAGAAATTGAAATGTCACAATTCTATATTTTTTGTGCGTCTGTGTCTCTTTCATGGGCTGCCACCACCCCGGGAATCGTCTCACCCGACCCTCGGCCGAAAATAAACATGTAACAACACACTATAGCAGTTGGTTCCTGTGGGGTTCGTGTGGGCCATTGTGTGTAAAATGTCCCTTAATCTATTGCAAACTTAAGGGCCACAATCCCAGTAATCCAGTGTGTTTATTAGACTCCGACCCGATCTCGTTCTCTCACTCTTTCTCTCTGTCTCTTTCCCCGTTCTCCATGGGTTTCTGCGGAGGGAACACTCCGGATTAACACCCATGTTTAATAAATAGCCCCAGCTGTGTAACTCTTGTCAATGGCACGCATTCTCTGTTCCGATTTCGTTACAATTGCTCATTTCGCCCGAAACGTGACACCTTTATGCCACGCCACACCACACAATCCTACTCCTAATTTCGGTATTGGATAATTGGCCTTGTTGTTATCATCTTTCTGTCCGACTGTATGCCTCTGTGTATCTGTCTATATATACATACACACATATACATGTGTACTTACACGCGCCCAACAGTTCAACTTTCATGAGCCTAATTCCGCATGGACAAAACGCGACACCCATCTGTCCATGAAAACATCCGTAATTGGAAACACTTTCGGAATAATTCACATTTTAGGGCGAAAAGGGGGAAAAAAAGGAGAAATCATTCGATTTTAATCTATCCCTCATTACCAACACAACATGCACTTAACTAGAATTATATTTAATTACGTCTACATTCAATTGTTCTTTCTGGCATAACGCATTTCAGTTTAAATGTTTTTTTTACATTCAATGGATTTTCATAATAAAAAATATCCCATTTCAAAAAATATTTAAACCTTTTAAATTTAAGCAATAAAGAAGATACAATTTATTTTACAAAATACCAATGCCATAGATAAAACTAATTATATTTAATTTGTGCTTATGTATTTATAATCATGCATTGAATACGAAAGTTAAGCAATAAATGGGTGTCCCACTGGGCGACACAGTACAAGAATTCATATTACAGACAATATCAACAATTATTATCAAAATTACTTAAATAAGTTTAATCTTATTATTTTTTTTATGATGTAACAAAACTTTTGTATTTTTATAATTGCTCTATCAATTCTTGTAAAAGTTATGAAATATTGATGAAAAATATAATATATTTTCAATTACTCATATAACCAACAATTTTTCTGTCATATTATCTATATAAAAAAATACATCAAATTTTATAAATAATGTTTCCTAATGTGATGTATGAAAGTATTTTCACAACATTTCAATACGCTTTCTCCGTTGTTTATTTACAAATATAAAAATACATCGTGAAACTTTCCCTTTGAATGTAAATGTTTCAATACGATTAATATTTTAAACAATAACATTTTATGTACATGTATTTTTTTGTACTTTTGATTTATAATTGACACGACTTGAAAATGATATATTAATATTTTACATAATTAGCAAAATTTTCACTTTCAATTACTATAAATTACATTTATTTAACATATAATTATATCCTCAATGATACTTACTTAAAATGCGTGAATAAATTATCCGGTAATATAAATTACATTTCTGTTCAATTTGTTTTCTTCTTAATTAGTGATTCAAAATCTAAAGGAAAATTGAAAACACTTGTGTATTATTTTGATGAATGCATTTTTAAACGATAATTAATCGTAAATTTGGCGCCAAGTGTAATAATATATTGTTGGACGCAGATGTTTTTGAAGCTTGCAACATAATTCGTTAAAAGACATGACGTGAATTAAAACAAAAGGGAAGCAGCAATGGAGAAGCAAAAAAAAAATATGCATGTAGAGAAATGCTATAAACAATAATGTGTATCATTAATAATAACAATCTTTATTGTGATCTCTCAGTATGGAGCAATTATATAATTGTATTAAATTAAAAAAGGAATATTTCGAAAGATGTGGAATATAACGCGCTACCAACCATCAATGCAGTTACCATTGTAACACATTATATTAATAATTAATTAATTAAAAATATGTAAATATTGTTTTTAAATATATACACATTTTCTATGATGTTCGCTTTTTTATATAAGAAACATGTTTTTTAATATTAAGGAATTGTAATGGTGATTTTTTTTTGTAGTTGGTGATACTTTGTTATTGGGTTAACAACATTAGATAATAATGCCATAACGATAATTAATAACCTTTCCATTTCTCGTCTATTTCTATAATCTGTAATTATTATTGCAATTCCAAATAAACTAATTATTTTAAATCAATTATTATATAACTAGTTTTGTAATGGAATCCTAAATTTTATATAAAAATATATAATGAATGGGTTATAATGAAGATAGTAATGATAACTTTGTAGATGAATTTGCAAGCAGATATTTTTGGTTGCGTGTATAATAATATATTACTTGTGATTACTTGCAATTTTGTTAAAACGTATTGCGATATCAAATATTGTCAGTTTCTAAAGCGTTGCGAAACTCTTGAGTTCCAACGGAAATCTTGCGTTGTTATGGAATACATAAATTTGTTTCGTATTAGTAGCATTTATTTGGTCGACTTAAAGCTTCTAATCCGAAGGGTGATTCCATTCTCTTCGCTTCGTTTCTCTTTTCATCCGATATTTGTGTGTTGTGCAGTTTAATAATGTTTAATGTTCGGCTATTAAAAATGGATTCGTTCCTGCAGTTTGCGCAACGAAAATAATGAAGGTGTTAAAAGGGGTGGAATCGGAATGATGTGATAAAATCGTGTCGCGTCGCAGTTGCACCTTGGGAATGGGTGTATTTAGTGTTGGTCCGACCCATCAGTCCGCCCGTGCTCCGCCCATGTGTCTGGTAAATATTGTCGGCAAACAGGGCCAAACAATGGACAACAAACGGCGGTCGTCGCCGATTGGCAGGCTGCGATTGGCCGTTGCGCCGTGGGCCGCAACCATTACCGAGCTTACATAAGCTCGGACGACGATCCGGGCCGACTCAGTGTTTCAATCAAAAAGCAGCCGGTCGGTCGCGATACTCGCTCCGCGCAAGAATCTACTACATCAATAGTAACAATAATAATAACAACAACAACAGCAGAATTAGATGAATAACAATGGGAATATGGCTCGCATGGACGGAAAGTTAACTGTAACAACGACGACCACCACTACGATGCCGTTAAAGAACTTCAGTATAAGCTCTCTTCTTCCTGAGACTGTGCTCGATGTGCCTGCTCCGAGTCCGGAAGTGCTTCCGGAAAGTGAATCCGATTCGGATCTGGATGTGACTGGAACTCCTCCACCTCTGGATTGCTCCAAGTCGGATGAGAAGGAGAGCCAAGGAAAGGATGAGAAGAAGACGAATGATAAGCCACCGTACAGTTACAACGCTTTGATCATGATGGCCATCAGGAATAGCCCGGAGAAGAGGTTGACGCTGAACGGCATCTACGAATACATCATGCGCAACTTTCCGTACTACAGAGAGAACAAGCAGGGATGGCAGAATTCAATAAGACACAATCTCAGTTTGAACAAGTGCTTCGTGAAAGTGCCCCGACACTACGACGATCCTGGTAAGGGAAACTACTGGATGCTAGATCCGTCCGCCGAGGACGTTTTCATAGGCGGTACGACGGGAAAATTGAGGAGGCGTTCGACGGCCGCTTCGCGCTCCCGCCTCGCCGCCTTCAAACGGTCCATGGTCCTCTCCAGTTATCCCACGCCTTTCCAGCCCTACAACCCAATGATGGGTCTGTATCAGAATCCAACCCTGCTTGCAACGATGTACCAGCGGTACAATCCCTATCTGACGATGCTGCCGAAGCCATCCCCCTTGCCGCCTAGCAATTTCGGCGTCGATAGGTTGATTGCACCAGAAGCCTTTTTGCGCCACCACCAGCATACCGGGGGCGTCGGCGGCGGCGCCGGGGGCGGGTTCGATCTGTTCCCCTCGTTGAGGTTACCCGGACAAATGCAGCATCCCATGCAGCAGCTGCTGCAGCAGCATCAACAACAACCCCAATCTCTCGGCCCGCACTCCAGCTGCTCTAGCAGTCCTGAGCCCCGGGGCACTCCCGACGCCATCCACAAACCAGTGACTGTGATTACGCGACAAAGTTGAACGGTTATTCCTGTTCGCACCTTTCTGTAAATAGTACCTTAGTAGTCTCTTTCTCGAAAAAAAAGAAGAAACAAATCGAAGAACGCAAGGAACAACTCGTGGTTACGGTAATTCAATTACTCACACCGAATCCAATTCGCTTTGCTTGATTTGATTAATTATAGATATGTACATTTCCTATTTATTGCAATATTTATTACCAATAATAATTATTTTGGCAACAACTATTTAGTTTATATTTAAATTATTTATTAACAAATAAATCACATTATTACCGTTTATAAACATTACTACAATTATTCAAAACATTTTACACCTTCTAAATCACCCTTAAAACAGTTATTTATTTCAATACACTTTAATATATTTGTACAAAATAAAATACGTTTACATTTTTGGTTCAATTATACAAACAAGAATGGATTTAATTTACCTAAAAATATTAATCATTTTTTTGATACAGTCTCATATATTCGAAACACTTCAATCTAAATATTATTCACATGATCATATGTAAAATCATTCTATATTATATATAACACAAATAAGAATATTTAAAAGATGATGATGATTCTTTCAATTGCTACTTATCAATCCATTTTAAACAATTTATTTCATTTCATTTAATATCTGTTAAGCAAATAATGCAATTTTAAATCAGATTTATTTTAAAAATTACTAGATACACTATTCAAAACTATATTAAATATAATATAGTTCTCAGTAATGTTTTATTAAAATACAATTATTTTGGTTCACTTTTGAATTGTAAAAATTTAAGCATATGATGAATTTAAATCATTTATCAATTAATCTTTTACAAATTTTTAAAATTAAAAAGTAAATTATTAAACACTAATTAGTGCGTCTAATCATTTGAAAATTCTATGAAAATGTTATTCAGTTTCAACACTGAAACAAGTTTATCAATTTATCAAGAAACCGTGTTATGCGAGTTTTCATTTGTCAAAGGATATATTTTTTATTTCTATTCAAATTTACAAAAATATTGTATAGAAATATTGAAATTTAACTTAATAAAAATACTTATAATATTCTGGATCAAACATGATAATATTTTTAGGAAAAAATGCAACGTGTTAGCTTTAATTATAAACAATTTATAAATCATATTTATTAATTAAATAACTAAAATATTCTTCTGAAATAATTATAATGGAACATATATAGAAAATATTTGATTGATGTAATTGATGAACAACACGAAGATTTATTATTTTATATTAATTGAACTCGAGTAAACGTGCGCATCTATGAATTAATCAAATGAAGCAAATTGTTATTGATTGTAGGAACTATAATTAATTTCAATTACTGCAACCGTTCGTATTGATTCCTTGCTTGCAAATGTCCGTTGTTATATTTCCCATCACATCTTAACATATATTTTTATTTGTTTGTTTCTTGTACAAATTAAAACTGCAACGTAATGAAAATGTCTGTATGTATATATATATTTATAATGTTATGTAATGAGGAGATCTCGCATCAATGTTATTGAAAATACTTGTTTCACAATCTGTTAATTTAGTATCTGTAAATTAGTGAACACATCCAATTTGACACTGACGTTAACGTACGCAACACCGACACACTTTTAATTCCATAATTATTTCGATAACTGTAAGACTTTTGTGATGAATTTAGTTTTATTAATATTATTATTTTGTTTTTTGTAAATAGCCTGTACATTTTTTCTTTCTCTCTAAATATAACTTTGTATACTTTGTATGATAGTGGAAAAAAATATAGGTCCTCTTTTTGTACTAACGAAATTATTTAAGACTATGCAGAGAAAACATTGAGGACCTTCGTTTTATTTATTTGTTTAATTATTTCTGAATAAAGTCTATAATTCAATATGTAATTACGTGTGTATTTTTTTTATTGCTTGCTTCGCATTTTGCGAAGTATTTAGTTTCCGACGGCAACCGAGTAAGTACATAATTTTTAGTTTTCTTATGATTTATATGATAATTATATAAAGTATAATGAAAATTGGGTATATATTACATAAATCAATGTAATAATTGTATAATTAAATGTTATAGTAAATATGATTTATTTCATTTATTGTCCTGAATTACAATTAAGTTTCTCTTAATGATTTTGAATTATATCTTTGTTAATTCGCAATTTTCATACTTATATAATGCAAATATTGTAGCTAAATTCAGTATTTTTTTTCGGAGATTTGCAGCTAAAATATTTGTCTGAAATTCAATATTGTTGTTTATTATTAATTCTTTACTTGATTTCTTTGATTACATTATTTCTCGAGAAGGACTTGATAAAACCTAAAACGTAAACGAATATATTGGTAAATTTTGATAATTTTATTTGTTTTATAACAACATTAACCGTATTGATATATTCGAGTTTTTGTGAAATGACCAAACTTAAATTTAAGTTGTCATCACTTCGTTTCTATCCGATTCAATTCTCTATCCAGGTGCTTTCCCACACATTTGACTTTGTCGGATGGAAATATTGTTTTGTTATTGAGGGTAACTAATGGATACGGGTCTTTTCTTATTGTAAGTGTGTACCTAGCTAGATTCTTTTTGAACATAAATATTTTTTTCCTAAATTATTGTTAAGAAATTTAGAATTATTTACAAATCGTTATTTATTTATTTCATATATAATTATCAATAAATTTAAGCTATTAGGCCACAACAGAAATCTTCAATCTCTTTTTTACATTGAATTATATAAAATATAAAGAAATATCAAAAATTATCGAAAATAAAATTCAAACAAATAATTTTAAAATTATTAAATAAATTCTTACTTTTTGTAATGTATTTGGAATCTTTATTTAAGACGTTCTATTAGCCCATTTAGAGCCCAACATTTGGTATATAATATAAGTACAATCGTTCTAAGAAATGATTACTATTATTATCATTCTTCTGACGCACGTTTTAACAACATTAAATTATATTGTTGAGTGACTTAGTTCATAAGTTTAAATTATTGAATCATCACTGTAATATAATGCGATTTGCGACTTGTAGCTTAATCATCACATGATTCTTCTTTAGTTGCATTGTAATGCAACTAAGAAGAATCTGTATCATATTTATTTTATTTTATAATATGTTAAGCCATAATGATTTATTTTAATATTTTGATTACACAACTAATGCTATTACTAAATCTATATACTATTATGTATAATCCTATTACATGATCATATGGCATTAAATTCGTGTATATGTGTATTACTAAATGAAACATATATCCAAATTTCCCCCCCAAATATTTCACATTATTTGCATATTAATTATTTGAATTATCCAAATAATATATATATAATTTCTACATCTTTTAATTCATAGTTCAATATAATTTATTGGCCACAACATATAGAATATATGAATTGCATTGAAAGTAAAATAAAGAATCCTTAAACCAGTATATTGAATATAAATTCAAGTAAAAATATAAATTTAATAAAAACAATTCTATATAAATTAAAAAATAAAGTCCTTATCTTTTCTTTAAACTGAAAGAACTCAAGATTTTTTAATTAAAATCAAGAAAATAGAAATACAAATTTTAATCAATTACATTTTTTTATCTATTGTTTCAATATTTCACATTTTCTTAATCTAACTTTCATTATTGTGAGACAACATTATAGTATAAAATTATTAAATTAATTCATATTTTTTATAATTTATTGGGAATATTTCTTTAATAATTTCTACAAATCTTTTATTTCGGTTTAATATATTAACAAGTGTGTATAATGATATACACTAGACTATTTTGTCGCGGCACATTTTAATGATTTCAAGTTTTGACGGCACACAAAGAAAAAGATAAGTTTAAAAGTTGTTTACTTACTTATGCATTATAATTTTTACTATATACATTTCTAAAATTTGGCGGCATAGTGATTGAGAATCACTGCACTAGACGTTAACAGTTCAAGCTTTTTAATAACAATTAAATTAAAAACTAGTAAAGTTTGCAAGTTAAAAGAGAAATTATAATGTATTGATGAGTTACATTGTAGAAAATCTTTTCATATTCGATTTTCCTTCTTAGACTGATGTTTGAGATGTTTAGTTTGATTATTATTCAATAACAATACTTATACAATTATTTATTTACAAATCTCTTTTTCAACCATTTTCTTTGAGATATTTAGCTTAATTATTATGCAATATTAATGAAATATTTATTTATAATAGTTGATTAAATATAAATCACTACAACTACATTATTGTAGTTTGTTATGTTGATTTCTACTATATAGTTTGTATTGAAATCAAGAGTATAAAATCAATAATAGTTATGATTTTTCCATTTTTTTCACTATCCACTTTTTTTTATATAATAACTTGTGAGAATAATGTAAGAAATTAATAATCTTATAAATAGTTAGCATCTTGAGAATGAATATTAAGTACATGAGAAGATATTACCTGGAAATATGATTAATTCAAGTTTGTAGAAATTATAATACATATATAAACTGAGAGAATTGGAAACTTTGGAGAGGTCAATAGGCCACTGACCTTCGCTCATAATTGTTACTATTTTAATAATAAATCTGAAACTTGAAATTTTTTTCAAAATATGATTTATGTAAATTGAATGAAAAAAGTGTATTGGGAAAATTAAAATAAAACTATGTTTATGCTTTAATGATTGTACGGATTGTCGAGGTTACAGTGTACGTAAATGCGTGTGTATGTGTGTGTGTGTTTGGTGGAGACTTAATTAAGTTAATTTGAACAAGAATTCCAATAAATTGTTGGAGGAATAAGTGAGTCTGACATGGCGGTGCATTTATATTAAACACATAGGTGAAACGGCTCTTTATTAATTATCATAATTTATTCACGTGCGGTGTGCAGCGCAGAAGAACGACTCTGCCTGGAACAAGGTGAGGACTACTCTCTTTGGATGGATGAAGAAGCAAGCGGCCAACAGAAACGGCCGACAGATGTACGTACACACAGCCTTGTTTTCTACCATGTCACTTGCCACCGACCTATCTGAAGGAGGACGTCTGGAATTCCGCCACTTTTAATCCAAATTTCAGATTCGCCATACGATCGATCATTGCACTCGGAAATTCTTACTTATATAATGTATCACAATTATCTTCGTTATCAAACGGTACATAATATTGAATAAATATTATACAATTGACAACATATCAATCATTGT